TTAACACTGGAGACAAACAACTGATTCCAGTCAGCTAACTGGCAAACTTTAATCCACCGTAAACACATTGGAGAAGTTGATTCAATAAAAAATATATATTAATAATGTTTCCCTTAAAGAAGCAGCTCTGATCATCTAATCTCTAACCCAAATTAAATCAAATACACCTGAGATTAATCGTTAGTTAATTAATTGAGTTTATTGTCATATTGGATGTAGGCCTCGGTGTGTCCCTCTGGCAATCAAAATCATTATACTTTACATGAAGTCTATTGTTTGTCGCTTTAAAAATGGGCTTGCATAATTATTCTGAAAAAAACACACCCTTAGTTATAGGAGGAGTCAATGCAAAACTCAGATATCTCCCCCTCTACTTATGTGACTGCAGAGAGGAGGACAGAGGACAGAGGACACACAGTTTAACATGATGGACTATAGGACAGGACTGCTGCTGCTCACTGTCTGCTGGGCAGGTCAACATCTTTACTGATCTTTATCTAACACAGATTTTAATTGTGTCACCAGCTTATTTCACCAGATGTGTTTTTATCCTCTTGACAGGTGTTGATGGTCAGACTCTGACAGAATCTGAACCAGTGACTAAAAGGCCTGGAGAATCTCACAGATTGACCTGTACAGCCTCTGGATTCACATTCAGTAGCTACTGGATGGCCTGGGTCAGACAGGCTCCTGGGAAAGGACTGGAGTGGATCGCTTTTTTCGACACTGGTAGCACCCCATACTACTCTGAGTCATTTAAAGGCCGGTTCACCATCTCCAGATACAACAACAGACAGCAGGTGTATCTGCAGATGAACAGTCTGAAGGCCGAGGACACAGCAGTGTATTACTGTGCCAGAGACACACAGTGAGAGACAGTAACAGGAGAGTCGTACAAAAACTACTTCCTCTATTTACCACCACCCATGAGAGCATTCACTTTATATTGACATCCTATTTCATCTCATTTGACGCAATGTTTAATTCAGATACAACCTAAAGAAATATAGTGAATTTAAACAGAAAATATGTATTTCTTTGTCTTTTGTGCCTCGATCAAAATGTATTTTCATTTAATCGTTTATTGGAACCGCGACAGTGCACATCGATGAACACTTTAAAACAAAAAAATGCTTACAAGCGTAAATGAGCCGGATTTTAGCTTTAAGCTAATTTCCATCCGCAGTCCCGTATCACAGATAATATAAAAAAAATATTAAAGGTTTCCCATTTCAAACAACGCAGCTGTTTATCTGATTCAGTATGGTTAAGCTGTGCCCATGTATCTCTAGAAGTACATTAATGAAAGCACACTTTGATGACATTAAACATTAAAAAACATCTATCTTATTTGCCGATTGAACACAAATCATCATTATATCATAAACATTATCATCAGGAAAGTTTTATCTGTTTGAATTTGAAACATTACTGTAACATAACCACAACCAAATGAAGCAAATTCTATATTTAACACTGGAGACAAACAACTGATTCCAGTCAGCTAACTGGCTAACTTTAATCCACCGTAAACACATTGGAGAAGTTGATTCAATTAACAAATATTTATTAACAATGTTTCCCTCCTCTTGCACTTGATGTAGCTCCTGTATCTTCTCTTGCACTTTATATATCGTAGCTGCTACATTGTACTGCCATGTGGTTAATGCTTGTATATGCTGCTCATGCTCTTTCTGCATATCATGTATTTATTTTTGCTATGTATATAAATGCCATGTTCTTAAATGTTGTATGTGAGGGACTACGGATGGAAATGAGCTCAAAGCTAAAATCCGGCATGTTTACGTTTTAAAGCATTATTTGTCTTAAATGTTCATCAATATGCACTCTTCAAATAAACGATGAAATGAAATAAATAAAGAAGCAGCTCTGATCTAACCCAATTTAAATCAAATACACCTGAGATTAATGGTTAGTTAATTAATTTAGTTTATTGTCATATTGGATGTAGGCCTAGGTGAGTCCCTCTTGCAATCAAAATCATTATACTTTACATGAAGTCTATTTTTAAACACACACACTTAGTTATAGGAGGAGTCAATACAAAACTCAGACATCTCCCCCTCTACTTATGTGACTGCAGAGAGGAGGACAGAGGACAGAGGACACACAGTTTAACATGATGGACTATAGGACAGGACTGCTGCTGCTCACTGTCTGCTGGGCAGGTCAACATCTTTACTGATCTTTATCCAACACAGATTTTAATTGTGTCAACAGCTTATTTTACCAGATGTGTTTTTATCCTCTTTACATACTTTGTTGATAGAGTACAAGGAGAGTTATACGTTGACTAAATCATTCGTTGTTGTCGTTTTTATGAAAATGAAAAAAACCGTTACAACAAGTTACAAAACACAATAATAAAAAGAAATATGTATTTAAAATAATAATTTCCTCATAAAACAGCCAAGGACAGAAATAACATCTTCTAAATGTATGTTTCACGTATGGGCAAAAAGAAACACTAAATGTAGACATTTCTGTCACATGACTCACATTCAGTTGGAAGTGAAGCAGCCTCATGTGTTAATCTCACGTCTGAAAGAAATTCATGATGAACAGAAGGAAGAATGGCTGTTTGTTCTTGTGATTGTGCATTGTGATATACGCTGGATAAATAAATCATTCTGCAATAAGACAAACTTTCACTTTCTGGGAGAAAATCTTTGTCTTCCTGAGTGACATGTTGCTGTTTTAGCAGTAATCCCCCTCACTGAGGTGACCTATCATTTTCAAATGAAAGTACGAGACTGACAGAGCAGCTTGTTCTGTATACATTAAATCACCCACCAGACTATAGTCTCTCAGAAATGCACATACCAACAAGTAGAAAAGACTAAACAACATCTTATTATTGGGTCTGTTATGGACCTTCTCTCATATTTCTCACACATTTAGTCTTTATGTATCAACACTGCAACCCCCCTAAAAAATGCAAATCCCAACACACTGATGGATAATCCCCACCCATTCTGCATGCACAATATATATCCTTCATACAGCCTCTGTTGTTGCAGACTCGGACAAGTTCCCACCATGACATTGGTACAAAGCGTGGTCCTCCTGGCTCTGGTTTCAGGTGAGTGAAGTCGGTCCAGCAGAGGAGGAGAAGAGCTGCTGGTTCCCCTTCATCTAAACTCTGTGTCTCTTTCAGCGGCTCAGGGCCAGTCCCTCACCTCCTCAGAGACGGTGGTCAGCAGAACAGGAGAACCAGTCTCTCTGTCCTGTAAGGTGGAAGGACTTCCTCTGGCTTGGCTGCACTGGATCAGGCAGAAACCAGGGACGGGACTGGAGTGGATCGGACGCATTGATAGTGGAACTGGCACCATATTTGCCCAAAGACTGCAAGGCCAGTTTTCCATCACCAAAGACACTTCCAAAAATCTTGTGTACTTGGAGGTGAAGAGTCTGACACAAGAAGACTCTGCAGTTTATTACTGTGCACGAGAGCCACAGTGACACACTAGACTACCACGCTGTACAACAACTGAACATCACTGATCCCTGTATGAAAACCACTGAAGCATGTCAGGGCTGTGAAAACACAATTCCCATTGGATGATCGCCAGCTGATAATGAAATGTATTTCATTTAGAAAAACATGTGTGTTATTGCGTTGAGACAGGTTGTCATGACTCACAGAATACCTGCATTTTTTTAAAGGATAACCTTATATAACATAAGTTTGAATCCAGTGAATACTGTGGTTTAAATAAAGAATTATGTTTTTACTGAAATAACATCTACTAATTTTGAGAGTTTTAGGAATTGTTTTTACAATAAATCAAATAATGGCAACACAATCCTTGCTAAGTCAACTATGGTGACTCTTCTACATCCTTAGAGACTTTTTCTGCAGCCTGAGGACACTGTTGGGTTTTACTGTGTAAGTGTAAGAAGTACAAGGATACGAACCACCAACAAAGCCAACACATACTCAATAACCAAGTTACTCAACCACTAATTTTATGGGACCATGGGTCATTTTTTGGCATGGATAAAATACTTCAAAACAAAAAGGGAGCATGACTCTGAGTTTATTGTTAGATGTCAAATAGAAGGATAAGTGAATATAATAAAAGAAAGACAAATAATTGAGTCAATTAGATCAAACTACAACAGAGTCCCTGCATGAGCCCCTCCCTCCCCATGCTATCCTGATGCAAATCTCCAGTGTGTGCAGAGTACTTCTGTCTGACTGCTCTGTACTTTGTGTGGAGCATCAGAGGTCACATCTCCAGTCTCAGGATGATCAACTCTCTCTCTCTTCTGCTGGTTGCTCTCTCTCTGCCCTGTGAGCTCTCCTGCTTCTTGATGTTTTATCTTTTATCAGACAACATCCACTGATGGTCAGTCAGTGATTCAGCCCTGTGTTTGGTGTGTTAGTGATCATTTCTCTTTTGTATCTTGTCAGGTTGTACAGGTCAGAGTATGGAGTCTGTTCCTTCCTCTTCAGTAGTGAAGAGGCCTGGGGAGACTCTCAGTCTCTCCTGCAGGGGATCTGGCTTCACATTTAGCTGTTGCAGCATGCACTGGATCAGACAACCTGCTGGAAAATCACTGGAATGGATGGGTCGTGTTTACAGCGATGCAAGTGGAACAGACTATGCCAGTAGATTACAAGAACGGATAGAAGTCACCAGAGATGATAGCAACAGCATGGTGCATCTGAGGCTGTCCAACTTGAAGCCAGAGGACTCTGCTGTGTATTACTGCGCCAGAGACACAGTGGTTAAATGAAGCCCAGAGGCTTTACAAAAACCTCTAACTATTTATTATCACTAGTACCAACAGGTGGCAGTAAATGATAAAAAGTCAGATGACAATAAGGAGAAAAAGACAGCTTTTCTAAACACACTATGAAAGCAACGGCTGATGTGGAATTTCACTTCCCCTTTTTTAGATATACATTTTACTTCAGGCATTCTTGCAACAATATTGTCCCATTATTTTATTTTTAACATAAAGTATCGAGAATGGATTTATGCATGATGTATCCAGAATGTGGGTTAGGGTTTTGCTGAGCAGAATAAATGATTACATCTTATTTAAGTTTAAATAAACATTAGTGATAAGTAACTTAAAATGTATCGTTATAATTGTACAACCACAAATCCAAAAGACAACTCTTGACAGGACAGTCCGTCCCTCTTTTACAGCCTGTCAGTGTCCCCCTCTATGCAAAGTGAACTTCCTCACAGTCTGCTATAAAGACTTGATATCATGCTGTCAGCTGCAGCAGAAGAAGAGAAGCTCCATCAGGTCACCTTCAACACCAACCATGTTCTCTGTAGCTCTGCTGCTGCTGCTGGCTGCTGGATCCTGTGAGTCTCACTGAGGCAGAGACACTGACAGAACGCTCACACTGACTGCTCACTGTTATTAACCTCGCTCACTATTCAACATGTTTCCCTCCACAGGTGTGAAGTGTGAGCAGTTGATACAGCCAGCCTCTGTGACTGTGCAGCCAGGTCAACGTCTGACCATCACCTGTCAGGTCTCTTATTCTCTTGGCTCCTGGACAGCCTGGATCAGACAGCCTGCAGGGAAAGGACTGGAGTGGATAGGAATGAAAGACACTGGAACTACATACTTTAAAGATTCACTGAAGAGCAAGTTCAGTATCGACTTAGACTCTTCCAGCAAAACAGTGACTCTGAACGGACAGAGCGTGCAGCCTGGAGACTCTGCTGTGTATTACTGTGCCAGAGACACACTGTGACACACACCATCAGTAGAGCTGTACAAAAACCCCTCAGAGCCTGAACACTTGTAACATGAAGCCACCAGAGGAGGAGCCCTCAGACCAGAAATGATCTCAACACCAGCTCACTGTTACATCATCAGTTTAAACATTTAGAGGTTATACTCACTGATACATTACTGTATGTATTCCCAGAATAAAAAATGAATAACTCTTCTTTAAATGGTTAAACATCAGCCTTTTCAAGTATCTATAATTATATATTTTCAGTAATTGCATTTTTTGCTCTAAATTTAAGTTTCTTTACAACCAATTTCAGCTCTAAGAATATTGTTCACACTATTTATTGAAACATACTAAACAGTACATCTACGACTGAAACACAACAAAAAATTGTTGGATGTCAGAGTTTCTTTCCAAAAATAAATGCATGCATTTCTGATCTTTATTTGACATATCTTTGATTAAAAAAAAAAATACATCTTTGATTAAAAATATAAATGTTAAAGACATGAGATGTAGATAAAACCTGTAAAGTGATTTATTCACTAAATTAACTCAAAGCATTTTTTAATGACAATAATGTTAATACATTTATTTTAATCAACAGTAAATAAAATCCATTATTTGTTTGTTTCATCTGACAAATCTGAATTACATAACAATAATAAAATGTAACAAAGTGACTTACAGCCCAATAAGAAATGTTTACCAATTTAAATTGTAAGAGATAATGTTTTTAACATAAAATACTATTAAAAGAGGACAATGTTCAATCAGAAAGGAGGAGTCAATGCAAAACTCAGATTTCTCCCCCTCTACTTATGTGACTGCAGAGAGGAGGACAGAGGACAGAGGACACACAGTTTAACATGATGGACTATAGGACAGGACTGCTGCTGCTCACTGTCTGCTGGGCAGGTCAACATCTTTACTGATCTTTATCTAACACAGATTTTAATTGTGTCAACAGCTTATTTCACCAGATGTGTTTTTATCCTCTTTACAGGTGTTGATGGTCAGACTCTGACAGAATCTGAACCAGTGACTAAAAGGCCTGGAGAATCTCACAGATTGACCTGTACAGCCTCTGGAGTTGACTTTGAAAATTCTTGGATGGCTTGGATCAGACAGGCTCCTGGGAAAGGACTGGAGTGGGTTGCGATTATTGAAGATGATAGTGACAATATCTTCTACTCTGAGTCAGTGAAAGGCCGGTTCACCATCTCCAGAGACAACAACATACAGCAGCTGTATCTGCAGATGAGCAGTCTGACGGCTGTAGACTCTGCTGTTTATTACTGTGCTCGAGAGACACAGTGACTGAAGCTGGTTGAGCAGCTGTACAAAAACCTACAGGCCTCATCCTTATCTTAGATAGACCCTTAACCCTTAGATGCACGAATGACTGGACCCTACACTCTTCCATATGTGGGTCAAAAAGGACCCGTATTAGAATAATATGTGTTTTTATGCCATTTTTGTTATTTTGGTTAAGAAAAATCACTTGTATAATAGTTAGCATTATATTTTGGTACACACTAGAAATATTTTATATTTAATTTTTCACTATTTATAATTTTAGGAAAAAAAATTACATTTTGAAAAAAAATACGAAATTCCATAGAAAAATCATGCGGGTAATTTTTTACCCACTTATGGAAGCTTGGGGTAGTAATACAAAAACTACAATTCTTTAAAATGTATAACATTTTAATAAAAAATGTGAATGGCATGATATCCAAAACATGTTTTTTGAGGAATAGCTGGAATATGAAATGATACAAAAATGTAATTACAAATATATTTCAAGAATACCACCTCACCGGGTCAAAAAAAGACCCACTTATGGAAGCTTGGGGTAGTAATACGAAAACTACAATTTCTTAAAATGTATAACATTTAAATAAAAAATTTGAATGGCGTGATATCCAAAACATGTTTTTTGAGGAATAGCTGGAATATGAAATGATACAAAAATGTAATTACAAAGATACTCTAAGAAAACCACCTTACCGGCTCAAAAAAGACCCACTTATGCATCTAAGGGTTACAATGAATTATATTATTCAGTTATCTTTTGCTTTGGTTGTATATAATACAATTATGAAATTCAGCCTTGAGAGAGTTCATAAATTACCAGCAACGTAATCAATTAAAAAAAGATCTAGATGAATTGATCACTGCCAAAAAAAATAGACAAGGACAAAACAAATCAATGTCCAAATAGGAATAAAATCAACAATACATGAACACATTTCAGCACCATTAATGCATATCATGGAGCAGCTGCTCTCATAAAGACACTAGATGGCAGTCAGTGTTGAGTTCCCCTCTCCTCTGTCAGTAAAAGGAAACACTCAGATCTGCTGCTCTCACTGATCTTAACTCACACTCAGACCCTGGACTGAACTACAGGTTTATACTCTCACCCCTTGAGAGGTTGCTTCACTAAAACACACAACAAACATTTTAAGAGCTGGATCAGCAGTCACTGCAGATTCATGAGTTCATTTAGTCGTAGTTCAAACAGATTTCAGTATCTCAGGCATTTCTTCCTGTGTGTCTTGTTTGATAACGAATGGTTTCTATATAAATCAGCAAAACAGTTTACGCAGATTGTTCATGTTATCAGAATTTAATATTATCAACATTTTAAACTGTTAATTATTCATCTCAATATTCTTCATTTTCAGCACTGAGTCTTTATTTATCTCACTGCAAACTGAAGAGGAGAGCTCAAACCACTGCAGCACACACAACACATTTCCACTATGACTTTAGCTAGATGTTTAATGTTTCTGATGCTTTCATGGATTTATGGTGAGTACATACTCCTGCACTCTTCTTTCTACTTTTCTTAGGTTTATGTTTGGGTCTGTTGTGATCAAGCTGCTTTTCTCTCCAGGTGTTTGCAGTCAGACTCTGACTGAGTCTGAAGCGGTGGTAAAGCGCCCTGGACAGTCCCACAAACTAACCTGTACATATGCAGGAATATCAGATAGTGATACTGATATCAGCTGGATCAGACAAGCTGAAGGAAAAGGACTGGAGTGGGTTGCCTTCATTTCTGCTCCGAGTGGAACTAATAAATATTATTCTATACCAGTCCAGAATCGCTTCACCATCTCCAGAGACAACAACGTGGACCAGGTGTATCTGCAGATGAACAGCCTGACGTCTGAAGACTCTGCTGTTTATTATTGTGCTTGAAGGCCACAGTGATACAGGAAGCCATAGAGCTGTACAAAAACCACTTCATTGTGAGTGGCATTAACCAACAGAGAATGCAAGTAATTTTCCACCTTAAATCAGGATATCTTATATACACAAGATGTGAATATTTCCCCACACAATGCTTCTGTCACAAGACGTCTTTGTGTTTTAAAATAAAGTCAGTGACAAAGGTTACCCCAAGAGGGCGACACTGGTGGAAGTCCCGAGTGAAGCTATGCAAAAACCTTGCAGACTGTTAATGTCTAAATGTGTTTGTCTTCTCTGTGTTATATGGCTTTTAAAGAATCCAACATAAATATGAGGACTTTGTTTGAAATATTAATCAAAATCATATTCTTTTGGAGACTGTTAAAGGTGGGGTAGGTAATTTTGGAGAAACCAGCTTGAGATCGCTAGAATTTGAAAATACACAGCCGGAGAAAATCTGCCACTTCCTTATAGAGCCCCTCCTCCAACACACACGAACGCGCACATGACCAATGAGGGCACAAGATAAGTTTGTGCACAGATGGAAGGCTGACAGGCAGGTAGGCCATCCAGTTATTTTAGCCGGGCCGGCTAAAATGATTGGTCGTGCTTTTTACAGTACTACGGCTTCCACAGATGACATTTTTTTATGGATTTTTTGTCAAAGCACTTAAAATATTCATTGCTATCGGGATGTTAAGAGCATTCCATGGAATATAACAAAAACTGTATCTCGAGCCGGTTTCTCAAACTTACCTTCCCCACCTTTAAGCTAGGAGGTATTTTGTATAATTCCTTACGCTTATTAAACATTTGAGTGATGATTATAACGTAGAGATCCCCAAATGTATTTTCTCAGGCCTCTGCATGTATTATATTGAAAACAAGATATTGAGATATTTATAAAATGAGAGCCAATGAATAGGTGAACAGAGAGAAGAAGAGGGGACCCAGGACGCACCCCTGAGGGACCTCATTGAGGAGGGTCAGACACACATCCTCTCAAAGTTACCCTGTAGGTTCAGTCTCTGAAGAATCTAAGATGGGTGTCACCAACCTGCTGAAGATCTCACTAATAAACACATCAAGAACACTGAGTGGGCCGATTAATGATATAGATTATGTTGATTTGCGTTTCCGCAGGTGTGAACATTATTGATCTGATCCAGTCGGACTCAATGGTTTGAATGAATTATAACAGTCCCTGCAAAAGCCCCTCCCTCCCCATGCTATCCTGATGCAAATCTCCAGTGTGTGCAGAGTACTTCTGTCTGACTGCTCTGTACTTTGTGTGGAGCATCAGAGGTCAGATCTCCAGTCTCAGGATGATCAACACTCTCTCTCTTCTGCTGGTTGCTCTCTCTCTGCCCTGTGAGCTCTCCTGCTTCTTGATGTTTTATCTTTTATCAGACAACATCCACTGATGGTCAGTCAGTGATACCAGAAAACCTTCAAAATATCTCACTATCTTCTTTGCTTCTCTTTTTCTTTTTTGTATCAGGTTGTACAGGTCAGAGTATGGAGTCTATTCCTCCCTCTTCAGTAGTGAAGAGGCCTGGGGAGACTCTTATGGCGCAGTTCCACTACAGCGCGGAGCTCGCTTTAAGCGTGCCGTGTCGTGCCCGTTTTTGGTTGCGCTTCCACTAGGCCTAGTTCCGGCCCGGCCCGGCCCGGGGCCACTTTTTCACGTCTTTTCTGGCCCGAGAAAATTGTGGTTCTATCGAGGCCAACAAACAGGGCTGAGTCGGGCTGAGTATGCTAAACTAGAGAGAGGAGCGCTGGCAACGGGGCTACAACTACAACAAGATGGACATATTTGACCGTGATTTAATT